ATATTGTCTGAATTTGGAAAGCCCTCTAGACTATCGCTCCAAAAAGTTGATAGATGACTGTAAGGTTCGTTGTGACTAGAAAATCTCAAAACATAGCACAGTAAAAACTGAATTTATAATAAAATCATCCCTCTCCCTTAGATTTTGCTAGAAGTTCGTTTTGCTCGGCGTTTTGTGAATATTTTCAGAAAAGCGCTGAGGCGTTATTGAAATTTTACTTGCTACCACGACCAAGGTTTCCACACGCGTTCGGTTTTTGTCACAGGCTTCTCATGGAATGGTTCGATTATTACAAAACAAGGTTTTATATTTCATGTTAGCTTATTGAAAGAAGTCGTCGGTTAATTTGGAAGTTTAAAATTGCTTGATTGTCTTTCCGGCTTTCCACAAGGATCTTGGCAGGTGTATGTATTTTCCAAAATTAGTAGGTACCTACATTTACTGTTCCAAAATATGGAATAAAATAATATGGCGTAAATCCGAAAGGACATACTTTTTGTAAGTTTTCAGCGAAAATGTCACTTCCCCAATCTCGATCAACATTTCATATTAATTAGACGTGATACATTGCAAATGTAACTTTACACTGGTCGTTGTAATTGGTTTTGCACCAAAGATTAATTACTCTTTGTGTGCAGCTTGTTAATTAAATTGCAATAAAACGTCAAGCGCCTGTATCTGCACTAGGAAAATTAGTCAAATTCAACAATACGTGCTGTACTATTGTTATTTTCAAGCAGAATCTGTTAAGGGAAAACGTCAGATGCTACGAAACTCCTATTGTAAGAGACGTTTCCATGTTTTTTTCCGGAACGCGAAAATAAATCTTACATTTTCCTACTGTGCACCTCTCTTCCATTTGTTATTTTAACAATGATTGATGTATTATTGATCTTTGAAACTAGCATAAATATTAGGACACATTTTGATATTCGAGTGGTTCGTGTCCTACATCTTTCTATGATTTCGTAGACGACGAGCTCGCGTGTAAAGAAAAGCTTCAGTGCTTTATTCAATTGAAAGGTCATATGCAGCCCCCACTTTGATTGCCGTTCGCCCTTTATCTAATTTAGTAAACCCATAAAAGAGCAAAGGTGTTATGTCTCAAAAATAAAAGTTCTTCATATATGTTTGTGTGAGAAGAGTGCTATAAAGTGGAAATGCCAGTCGTTTCATTTCTTTACGGTTATACCTATTTCCTCTTGTTATTAGGAAAGTTTGCGGAATAAAAAATGTACTTTATCAAATACGAGAGCAACATACTTTAGCAATGAAAAGTGAAGTGGTCATTCTTTTATTTACGTAAGGGTATCCCATGATTGTTTTTCTGTATTTTTTCTTCAGATTTCTCGATCAGTCCAAGAATTAAGGAATTGAAATGCAACCAGATTAATTAATTACCATTAGAACCAAGGTACAATGCAGGATACTAACTTTAACAATATTGCTATATTCCCACACTTCGTCAAATTGCTACCAACTAGTGAAAACTTAGTAGGTAACCGAGTGTTGTCATTAGATGTTAAGTACTCTATGGTAATAAAGTTATAACAAAACACTACATCTAAAATTACACGCATTAGGCCCAGGCACCCGGACCCAAATGAAATATCGGTTCCGGTTCTGTTTATATTTAAGCGAAAATATTTGTAACGGTTCAGTTCTGCTTTCGGTTCTAAAAAAACTGTTCGGTTCTGATCATTTTTTCAATCCATAACGGTTCTTTTCAGTTCTAGTCTTTTAGAAAATATGGCATTAAAAAAATTCATTATAATAACGCGTGATATTTTAATTAATAGGTGTGAAAAAGAAGTAAAAAGTCACGAATACCAAAACGTGACGTATCGTCATTTATTAATAAAAAAACAGGAAAAATACACAAAAACTTATGTAAAAAAATCATGTATGGAGTATTGATTTTTATTTTTATTTTCTAAAACCTCGCCTCTCGTTTTATCACAGTAGTGGTTAAATTATCGCCACCGCCAACCCTACTGCCTTCAATTTCGACACCTTATTAAAAATTTATAATCCACTGATGGCAATCATAGAGTAATAATATTTTATCAATTGTCAACTTCCAATAACCTGTTAAGAACCGTAAAAAAACAAAAAGAACAAAAAAATTATAAGGACTCCATTTCCATTTCTAAGGGTTTCGCCCTAAGACGAGTAACTTTAGCGCATGTTCCATGTATTGATCACTAGTTCCCAAGAGGTCACAGAACGGACATAATTATGTGTCAGTCTAATTGTCAAGATTTTTCTTGACATCTGTTATTAAAATTTCAAAAAAAATCTCTATAAATAAAAAATTTGACAGTTGCACAGTTTGCGCATGAGCACATCTGATGTTTACAATATGCGATATGTTTATCTTTACTAGAGACATCTATGGTTGAAATTTAAAAACTCTATAAATAGGAAAGCTGACATTGCGCAGTTTAATCGTCAAGATTCTCCGTGGCGCAGGTGCCAGAGCTATACGCTACTGAATGCAAAACGAACTTAACTCTTTTTTAAGTAGACTAAAAGAAAACTCTCACTTTCCCATAAACGTTTCTATTAACGCACGCGTTTGTAGAGACCTGCATACTAACAGTATTTCTTGTCTTTTTTGCCATTTTAATGTTAGTTTTTTTATTGCTGATAAAAAATTGTTATCGGATAAGAATTAATTGGTTCCGCGACAAACAATGTCACGTGCGACATAAGCAGTGCAGGTGTTTTATCAGTTCTGGCGACGGTGAGGGTTAATAACGATGTTGAATTTATTAGAGAAAATGGATTTTGCTTAGATAGAATGAAGAGAATGAACGCTGTCTCGAGTTATTTTGAAAGAGAGCTAAATGTATTTGACGCTAATTTTGGTACCGGGCAATTTAAAAAAAAGAAACGTAATTGCTCTCATGTTAGTAAAATAATGCGGAAACAAGTATAATGTTGTATGAAAAGTGTTTACGCATGCAATTTCGAGTTTAAAAAACATTGTATTATCAAGTACGACGAAATAATTGGTGTAATACAAGAGAAGTAGTACCATTCGAGCAGCCAGAAAGTGTTATTGCCTTCCATCCAGTTAAAGGTGTGATTAAAAATTTCATCCAAAATGTAGTTGCAAAAATCGAACATTGGAATTAGAAAAAAAGCCACACGCTCACTTTTTTTCAAATATGCAATCCTAGAATCATATTAGGTATATAAATATATAAAATATATACATAGGTACAAGTTATTTTGGCGTAAAATTAATGTTACTGCATAAGGTAATTAAAACGCCAACAATTTTTAGCTAACGACCTACAATTTAAATTCTGAGTGACTTCATTTTACATTATTGTTGCAATTTTTAGCGTAATCCGTTGAAATATTTCAGAGACACGCGAATAATTAATTACGTACGTCAACCTATTTTATTTTGCTCACGAGCCTGGAATAATACCAAGTTCCTCGTGCCTCAAGTTGAAAATCAAATTGTGTTATCATTATTAGGTAATTAAAAAAGGCCTTTACACAATTTTGAGCAATTTAAAGTGGAAGTTTTCTTGAAACTTCCCCGAGATAAAAAGAAAGGGCTTATTGCAGTAATTTGCGAAAAAAAGTTAATTAAACTTTTTCCATTCAAAAACGCAAATTTTCCAATTTTGTGAAGTTATTAAAAGCGTGCAATTCGTATTTAGACGTCATTTCTCGTCGATGTAGTTGTCGCGAAATGCGATGTTTAGCAAATTGGACAATTACGGCGAGCTATTCGTACAAATGTGAAAAAGGCTTTCCCTGACGTATAGCTCGAACGTTACTGTTTTGTGAAAGTGCGTCCTGAATTAGTAATAAACCCGTACTGTAGCATTACTGTGCCGTATTAAATATTAAAGTTCTGAAATATATTGTGAATAAATCTAATATTAATATTATCGTACCTTGTTTAGTATATACTAAATAAAAACTGACAAAAAGATGCAAGTGAATAACAGACGAGGGCCACTTGCTTTGCTTGGTATAAGCTGTGTCGGAGAAAAAGAAGGAAAAGACCTCCCGACAAAGGTAGTTCCCAAGAAATCTGATTTAAGTTTTAAATCGATTTCGTTTTATTGGACTTTCTTAGACCCATTTGCTCAAAATAAACTTGCTATTCATCTGAATTATTCATCATCTTTAAATCGATTTGGAGTTTACTTTGACCGACACCACCTTGCTCAGAGGATTTTGGATGGTTAGCCATGAGATTCGCTTCAACATGGCGGTTCCGTTTGGAATAGACTGAAAATTACACCTGACTGATTAATTTGAAGTAAGCTACAAAGAAAAAATGAAAACGATTGGATAACTGGAATTGATTCAAATGTATACAACGAGCTGGTTTGGTTCCTTATAATCGAAAACGTAATTTGGTAATAAAAATGCGTGCCATCCATCTTCTTTATTAGATAATTAATATAATATAATAATTAGGAGTTCGAAGTAAACAGAGAAGCATACGCGATCGATGGCACACGCCACTTAAAAATTGTAATGTCTACCACCCCTCTTTCCGCCATGAGCTATAGGTAACATTCTAAATCGAAATCATCAAAATATAAAAAAAAACACAAAGCGATATAAAATTCATGAATTTACCCTTTGATGTTTTTATTATTTGATACTTCTTTGAATGTACCTCCACACAATTAAATCGAAAAAATGCCTTTCGAACAATGGATGCGTATTTTAGATATGTTGTGTAAAATTTGTATTTAGTTTCGTTTGTCTAAAAATCGTCATTTTTGTTGCATTTTGTAATTTATTTTTTGCTCGTAATTCACTTTCAGATTACGAGGACAGTGAGCAATACAAGTTATCCAAGGGATCTGCATATATGACGATCGTCTTGTGAAAAAGAATGTGTTAAGATCGATCTGCAAATATTAGACCGCGTATATAAACACCAAAATATTAGTATTGCTGATATTATTGTGGGAGGAAGTCACATCAGCTTAAGAAAGACATTGCCATCTCCTTACCTGTGTGTGTGTGTGGACCCGAAATCTCCTCTAGTTGTCGAAACAGATGCTTCAGATGTTGCTATCTCTGCAGTCACAAAATGGGCGTCCCGTAGCTTTCTTTACCAGAACTCTTGCCGAAAGTGAAAAGGCGTACCCTGAAAATAGAAGAAGAAGCTACTGTTATTACTGAGAGTATTAAAAAATGATTGTTATGCAATCGACATTTCAAACTTGTTACTGATCCGGACTATACTACAAAACTTTATTTTATAGCTGAATAATCATTGTAAAGCTCCTGACAATACAGAATTTAATTTAGACGTCAAAAATAGCAAGATTAGGTTCTGTCGTCGCGGTCGTTTCCATAGAAACAGAATTGTCATATGTCCTGAACGTCATTTTACATTGTGCCCCGCATCCCATTTTAAAAAAGAATAACAAATGTCATTAGAATGCATAATCATCTGTTTCACTTTATCTACCCTCATGGTTAATTAAAGTGGTCACTTTACCTGCTCTCATTGTTAAAGAGCGACTTAGCCTGCTAATTCAAACGTGCTATAACATAAAGATTGATTATATGTGTGGCTAGATATGTATTGGTTCAGATAATTTAGTTTATATTTAAAGAATGAGATGGCCATTTCATGTTAGATTACATTAAAAGGTTCTAGACATGGTTATGATTCCTTCTCAGAGATTTGAATAAAATTCAGGATCTCTCCATAGAATAATAATTGAAAGTTGCTTACAAAAAGTACACGACATATTTCGGAACTAGATCTAGTTCCATTTTCAAGTGTATAAATTATCACAACTCAATACATGCTAGCCTTGTCTCAGATCGTCCCGGAAAACAATTTTTCTTATAGAACGTGGCCTGTAGAATCCATAATTTCAAACAGTTCCAAGATTGGGCTACTAGTTCAAAAGTTACAGCCCTTCGAATTTTCTTTCGAAATTGGTTTCTAGTCTATAACTTTTGATTGAGAAGTCTGATCGAAAAAGTACAAATTGTTTGTAAAAAAGGAAGGTTTATATACTGCCTTTTTTTGCCCCGAAGAAAAAATTGTCTCAGATCGTCCCAGAAAAAAATTTTTCTTATAGAACGTGGCCTGGTAAAAAAGGAAGGTTATAAGTAGCCAAAAACACGAAATAATTAGGCCTAAATCATCACACCAAAGGGAAATAATTTATAGGTGAATAACGGGCGAACAAAAATGAGTTGCTGTCGAGTCGCCTTTGGAAGTTCCATGTAAACAAAACTTTCAAAGGCGACTCGACAGCAACTCATTTTTGATCGCATGGTATAAACAATGACAAATTACTCCGAAGGATACAAAAGTGTAAATTTGAAAGGGGCCCTCATTAGAAACAAAGCGTGGAACGCCCCGATGAACCACGATTATAACGTGGTGAAAAGCAGGGTATTTAAACGAATTTAGGTTAAATGATGAAAGGAATGGCGAAACAACGCAGGGTAGACAATACAGTGAGTTTTTTTTAAATGCGAACATAGGAGTTTGCATGCAATGTAATTTCCCTATGTTCGATTTAAAAAAAAACACATCAATATATGAGATGTGCGCGGTTCACATTCCCAAAACGGGCAATTTGTGTGACTATGAACAGCAACTCATAGTCTTTATGATGAAGAGCACTCGGTAAGATTCTTTTAATTAAGCCATGTGAGGCCATAGCAACTTTAGGATAAATTTTTCTTAAACTTACGATAACTTGACTTCACATGGCACGCGCTGACATCACAATTCATTGTGAACCAACCTTGAATTATTTGTAGGTCATGTGCACCTGGTATTCTACTAATTTGATTTATTCAATACATAAATGAAGAAAATAAGAAAATAAATAACGCAAACAATTACAATAAATGTTCGAAGTGCCCTCCTTGACATTCTAAGCAATAACCTAACCGATTTCGTAATTAAATTGAACGGCGGTATTTTTAAAAATGTGACAGCTGTCAATTGTATCTACTACTCATTTGAACTACTCAATAGATTGATGTGTTTTTTTTTAAATCGAACATAGGGAAATTACATTGCATACAAACTCCTATGTTCGCATTTAAAAAAAATTCACTGTATAAGTAATGCCATTGATACTTATTCAATTCAATTCCAACCTATCGAAATATCGAAAATTTACTAATAATATACAGTACAATAATGTCGTTGACCAGCCCAGGAACGACTTTATGTCTACTGATCTATATACATAATTTCCAAAACATTGAGCAAAGGGCCTTTGTTGGTAGTGTAAAGAATTTCAAAATCTGAATTCACATAAAATTCATGGCCAGTATTGTGGAGGTGTTCGGCAAAAATTGATCTACTACCTAACAGTGGCCTGATAGGGAATGGGGATGTCAGGTTAGAGTGATAATTCAGACACCAGAACGGTCAAGAGGTGCTTTTTGAGACCGGAGTATTGGTGAAGCTCCTGTAATATAATGATCTCATGGTTGTTAAAAACAATAGAACGAACTTTTTAGAGAAAATCTGGAAGGAGTTAGTACTTAACTTAACAAATCCTGGGCTATCAATGAAATCCAATACTTTAGAGACGTAGTCCGTTTCGTTCTAAATCACAATTATCTTTGTCAGTTTTAGTACAAAGCAAATGAACAATTTGGCTAACGATATCAAATGTTTGTCTCTGAGGGGCGTAATGAATATTATAATCCTGAAGGACTAATGGTTTGAACTTTCAATAACATGTCATTCTTGGGTTTCGTGGAACAAATAATGGCATCACTGAAGGCGGTGAGTTTTTGAATTATCCTTAATTGAATGGATCGATGGTTAAGGACTTTATTCAGTAGATCCAACTCTTCCTTATTAGATTTGCGATTACTCAGGTGAACAGGATGAAAATTATGGTTTGAAAACTTCTTACAAGAGGTAACATTATTGAAGTTATTAAATTTGGATCTAAGGGTAGCAGTTTAGAGAAAAATTATTTACTAAAAGAGTCGACATTATCCTTTGTTCTAGTTTCTGTGGAAATCCCGCGGTGGTAAAGATGCTGCGAATTGTAAATTAGGTCGTAAAGCAAAATGTTGAAAAGGTCCCTTTCGCGTTTTTATTTTAAAAAGTTTCTAATAAAAATCTACGTATTGTGAAAATTCATTGTACTAAAGGAAAGCGCTTTGCGGAAATATTTAGATTGTTTCTCAATATACAGTAAACGGCCATTTAGTATTTAATTTTGCTGGCGAGGTGGAAAAGAATTTTAGAAATTTTGTAGAAATTTTCAGACAGCGGCAGAGGGAAAACTTTACAGTCACCCAAACCATCAGAAAAGGCAAAAAGACTAAAAACATTAGTAAATATTAAGCTAGCAGATGGCAAACCATAATTCAATCTATTTTGGTACAGTTCAGCTTTTAAAAACTTATCAAAAGAAGGGAAGCTTTAACCCTTTATTGCAGCAGAGGCTGTTCGAAAGGTTTGGGATTTTTTCAATTCATTTTTGATCTTCTCATGAAAATAAAAAAACAGTTGGAGCTTTATTTTTTGGAAAGGCTAAAAAAATTTGAGTTTTGAAATGTTTATGAAATGGATTTATTAAATATACAGGGTGTTACATATAAGTATGTAAAAAAATTGGGCGGCAGAAGGGATCAAAACAAGCACTTTTTCTAAATAAACCGAGGGTTTTTTCAAAATTCCTACCACGAAAGGGTGCACCCCTAAGTGGGGGTGCGAAAAAAATTTTAATTTCGATGAAATTTGGTAGTTGGGGGTTTTTGAACATGAAAATCACGAATCTGAAATTATTTTTTGGAAATTCGAAAAAAAAATTCCACTGCAGTTCTTGGCCGGACAACGAAAATTGACATAATTCGACGAATTTGTTGTGTACATACTTGATGAGTTAAGGAACAACATTATCGAACAGTTTTTTTAAATCACTTCTCAAACAAAAATTATACTCATTTGAAGATTGAGCCTTCAGCCGGTCACAAAAGTGTCCCCCGCCTACTGTCATCTAACTACTATTAGATGGCTCGCTAGTAGGCGGGGGATAATTTGTGACCCGAAGGACCAATCTTCAAATGATGTTTGAAACTAGTTACTGATCCGTTTGGGATAAATAACTAGTTACATGCCCAGTTACATCGCAACAACTTTTCTTAAGGAACTTTTGGCCTCATTAAATACGTCTTTCTCTTTTAGAACTTGCAAAAGAAATTGAAACGTCAGATGTTCTAAAATACAAACGTAAACTGCTTACAATATCCACACAAATATCCATTTGCACAGTTGACATAAACGCCTATCTACATGCAAGCATTCAACGTGCGTTGGATCATTAACCTAGATGAAGTTCTCAATTGCTGCTGGTGTGAAACCATCAACATCGCCAACGGGTTTCTTACATTGCCTTATTTTTGAAACCTTTTTAGAGGCTTACCCGATATAGACATTTGGGAAATAGTCACTGTTCGCAGAATAATATTTAATGCAATCTGTGAAATGAAACTTGTTACGTATACGAATTCGTATATTACGAAAGTAAATTCATTCTTAAACAATTCCTTCAGTTGGTGTCAAAATTGATGCAACTCCTGGACATTTAAATCAAACAAGCTTTTTTTTGAAAATAACGAATAAGATTAAAAATAAGTTGCGTACTTTTTCTTGGTAAACCCGATGGCATTTTTGGGTTCTACAACTTTTGGCGCAGAATATCGCACAGTGAGACTTACAGAAGTTATGCCTCTATAGTTCCAATTTTTATCGACTCATGTAGCAAAACGCGAGAAATTAATTTATTTTAATTTTATTTATTTATTTATTATCCCTCTCTTGTTTTGGGCCCTCAACAGGCTTGTGCCCAATTACAGAGTGACCCGCATGATGCTTTTTAGAGGTGCCCCTGCAGAAGGTCTTAAGTTGTTCTATAGGTACTACCTACTCCGGTATTTACCTTACGAATTAGGAAAACTGCAGGAAAACCTAGTTCGGAGTAGCCGGCAGAATGCTCGAAACTGACCTAAGGAAATTCCCATCTCTGCCACAGACGAAAAATTGTGGTTTAAAATGATGATGATTTTTTATTTTGTTAATATGTTGGCATTACAATTATATTCCCCAAAAAACAGAATAGATGACGTGCGGCAAATCAA